GTATCTAAATGAATATGCTGTTGTTCCTCAATCAATACTTTATGCTAAGGCCTGGAGAGTGGTTTCACCTGCTGGCCCTGTAGCTGCAGCACAGAGGGCAGATGGAGGTGACAGTAGGAACACACAGGGCACTTGGGCACTTGTGGGAAGAAGCCAGGATGCTGCCCAGTCACTGACCTTCACTTGGCTTCCTGACGTGAGGTGGGAAAGAAACAGATGAGATACCAATAGTTGGTTCCCAGCTTGGAGAAAAGCCCTCCAGGGCTGCTGCCGTGAAAGCAAAAGGAGAGGCCCCCTCACCTCTACCTCAGTGAAACCCACGGAGATGCTTCTTGACTACACAGCTCCTCCTTTTACCATTTCCCTCGGAGGCTATTATATGGTGGCATTTTTTCTGATACATTTTTTTCTTTCAGGGCTTGGGATAAGCGAACTCAGAAGTGTACATAAGAGTCTGTTCCGTTGCTGGAAGCCAGAGGGGAATTGTGGTTAAAGAGCTCTAACTTTGATGGAAGTCTGAGGGGAAAGCTGAGGGAAATGTGAAGGAGAATGGCTTTCATCCTACAGGCTGTACTCTCCCTGGGAAGGGCCCAGGAGATCATCCATTACTACCAGCTCCTTTCTGCTGCACTGGGGCTCAGAGGGGGAACGTGCCCAGTGCAGGTGACAGAGTTAGTTTCCCAAAGAACTGTACCCTGTTTTGCTGCCTGACCGAGTCCCAAAGTCCCCGAACTCCCACGTGTAGAGGGACTTGCCCACTCGGAGTGACATTTTACACTCAGACACTTTCAATCTAGTTGATATTTCACTTTAAAGAGCATTTTCCTCCTTTCCTGCTGGCCGTCATCTAAACAAGCAGAAAATGTATAAATAACTTCAGCTTTCCATCATTCAAAACAGCAAACCAGTGGTTCTGCATCCTGTGGCATCGGAAAAATAGAGCAGGATTTAGGAGACCTTGTTTCTACACCAGGCTGGCCCAGATGAAAGGATTATAGGGATATTTACCAGATACAGGGTCTTGGACAATTCTTCTCATCTCTGGGAACACAGCTTTCCTCCTAGATTGCCGTGGGGATGGAACGAACTAATATTTGCAAGCATTTAGCATTATGCTCGACACTCCATAAATGGCCCTGCGTTTGACGTTGCAATTTATTATGAGCTTTTTCATTACACCTGTCACTACTGCTTCCACAGGGCAGCAGCTACTGTTTTGGAGAACACACACTCTCACAGACAAATTACCATTCCCGTCACGATTGACTGACTTATAGGAGACTGTTTTCCTTTAAAGCAAAATGTGCAGACTCATACTTGCCATTCCCTTCAATGTTCCTAACTAGAAGTTGTGGAACCCTAGGAGATACAAGGAAGAGAAGGGGATGGGCTTAGCATCCTAGCCCTTATCCAGAGAGGCGCCCTTATCCCCTGCTGGTGGGGAAGATGATGGTGGTGATGGTGCTAGCAGAGGTGATGGTGATGGAGGTGGAGGTGATGGTGGTGGAGGTGATGATGGTGGGTGGTGGTGGAGGTGATGGTAGTGATGATGGTTGGTGGTGGTGGTGGTGGTGATGGTAGTGGAAGTGATGGTGTGGTGGTGATGGTGGTGGAGGTGATGGTGGTAGGTGGTGGTTGAGGTGATGGTAGTGATGGTGATGGTGGTGGTGGTAATAGTGGAGGTGGTGATGATGGTGGTGATAATGTTTTTAAACAAAAACATACTCGAGTGTATGTTATACAGTTGTAGTATTAAAAGGAGGTCAACAGACATGAAGATAAAAGACACGAGAGGCCAAAAGAGTGACCAAGACGCCTCCTAACATCTTAATAGGAAAATTATGTGATTGTATCATGCAGAAAATGTGAACAAGAAAATTAGAAAGGGATGAATTGACATTTTTCATAAGTTTTGCTATCTAACAAATTGCATATAAACACATATAGTATGACATCATAATATTTGATAAAAGTAGTCAGCATTTTTGGGTTCTTTACACCAAGTACTGTGTTAAGCACTTTTTATGAATCATTTCATTGAACCTATGCTATTGCCTTGTGGAGGAAGGAGGATTTTTAAAAAGAGTTACAGGTGAAGAAACTCAGAGAAATGAAAGGATTTACCCAGGTGCATGGAATAGGAGAATAACAGAATCTGAGCCCAGACCTCCCCAATTCTGGAAGAGAGAGCTCCCAGCCACCCTTTAAATGAATCAAGTCCAAGGCCCCTCCTGAGAAGATGGAGGTGGCGGAGAAGGAGCACATCTAACGGTAAGGCAACCCTTCACTTTCTGTTAGGCATTTGGTAACCCAAGTTCACACCCTGTCTGGCTGGCCTGTGGGCCCATCCCTGTGCTGGTAACTGCTCTCTCCACATCTCACATCGCATTTCTACATCATATTTTTGTTGTCATTAAGACATTTCACACACCATCATGATCGCGTTGTCAACACGCGTACCTCTATGGTTTTCAGGGTATTCACAAAGTTGTGTAACTAGCACCACTAAAATGTCCACGTAGTTCTGGATCCCTTATGATAAATACAGGATTTCTGGGAGAGCTTAGAGATCTAATTTTCATGCCTTTAAAGAGTTTGTAAGAAGATGTGATTTACAAACCTGAGGATCCTCGCTACTTAGTTAATGAGAATGTCACACAAGAACATACACATAGCTGGTGAGTGCTAAGTGGAGACAGCCAGACTGGGAATATGAGGGAGTCCTCATGGAGGAGAAAGGCGTAAGGCTGGCTTTGAGTGATGGAGCTGATCATCACCCAAGAGCTAGAGCTGAGATGAGGGCCAGGAGGATGCCAGATGCAAGGGGCTCTCAGGCTAAGTGGCCAAGCCCTTACCTGTTGCCAAGACTAATGATTTGCCCTACCAAGAGACTCACTGGGATTTCAATAATAGAAAAGAGGAGATGAAGCCCAGTGATCTCAGCCAGAGATCACCTGGTTTATTTGAAGGTAATTTCTATGACCGGGACCAGAGGCTTCTCTCAGAACTCAGGTGTGATACTCATTGGTTTCAGCAGGATGTGCACTCCAGGGAGTGAGAACAGCCTTTGGCTTTGGCTGGAAATTCCTGCTTTAAAAAGCCATTCTGTTCCATTTTGAAATAAAGTGGGAGTGAAAGACATGCCCCATGATGCTTCATGGTTAGTAAAACTGCAAAGGCATTTCTGCCTGGGCATAAAAGATTATTTTAAGCATCATCTCCCAGGTTCCTCAGTTACTAAGGGAATCCTGTCTCAGCTCAGCTGCCTCGCGCAAGCAAGCAAGTTGCCATGACGATCCTTCCTGTGAGGCCTGGTTGGTGTCTAAACACCACTGTAGGAGGGACCACAGGCTCTGCATGCTCCTGCCTGTGCCCGTGCCCATGACGGTGACCGGAGCAGCTTCGCCCTCCCCTCCCTGCCCTTTGAAGTCTGCCACGGGACACGCGTCTGCTGCCGTCCTCGCCACTAGGGGGCACTAGCACAGTGGACTCGCGCGCAGGGTGGTGGCTCATCCCCCAGGATAGCTTGTCTCTCGATCCTAGCATGTGCTTGCTGTTCATATTCGGTCATGTTCAGTCTTCTTGGGCATTCCTTCCTTCACGTCTCTCTGAACAGAAGCAGCACTAGGTATTTACCCAGAAGCTGCACTGTGGAGCATAAGAAAAAACTAGAATTATTTTTGTTTGCCTCCCTGTAAACCAGCCGGCCATAATCAAGCTGATTAGCTCCTTCTGAGTGATTTCTGCTTCCTCACCAACATCGCCCATAGTCTCATTTTTCTTTTCTGTTGCCTGCAGAAGAAAATTATTGAAATGCCTAATTGCAGGATGCCTAATTGCTGAACTGTCGTTATCTCTTGACAACTTCCCTTCTAAAACAATCCCATTTCCCATTTCACTTTAAAACTCCCCAGCATCAATTCCAATCATAACAAGGCCCTCAATGCAGAGAGACATTCTCGAGTGTATGCTCTGTTGCTGCAGCAAGCTAATCAAACTTAACTTTAAGTTCAGGTAATTCATTGCCTGTTTACTCAGCATTTCAACAAAAATGGAATGGCCAAACTTAAATTTCCAAATTCCTACAAGCAACCCACTTGAAAATAAAGAAATGGACTTGGAGTAATGGGACGAATGTCCAAGGTACACACATGGTAATTCGATTGTGTCTGAAACCCGGGACAAGGTTTTTGTTTGTAAGGAAGGTGGGTTAGTTATTTTGCTCCAACCTGTCACCCTAAAGTTAGTGACTGAAAATAAAAGCAATCATTGATTCTCTGGCAATGTTCAAGGAAACCACGAGCTTCTTGACCGAGTGTTCAGCCTCAACGTACATTTTACCAGTTGCAGTCACCTGAAGGATCTCGGGGGCTGGTGGGTTCCCTCCCTGGTGGCTGGAAAACTGTCTTGTCTTCATAGCAGCTCCTCTACAGAGCCGTGAGAGGGTCTGCAAGATGTGAACACTGGTTTTCCCCAGAGGGGACAGCCAGAGCCCCTGGTGGTGTACCAATACATTTTGGGTTCGGCTCTAGAAGCCACAGATACTCTCCTTGGCCCTCAGTGTCAGCTCTGCACGACTGCCAGATGTACTCTTATTAACCAGCACCAAAACTGAGTCTGAGTTCCATCACTTATGACATAAAAATAACTTCCCTTTGAGGATTATAACTTCCTTTTTAAGGATTACTTTGAACATTAACCTCTGTAAGACTGTCAAGAACTGCTTAATACAATGAGCTCTCACAGTGGGCATTATTTGGGAGTGGTTTCGCTTCCTTGGGAAACCTGTCCCTAGTTCTTCCCAGTCTCCTAAAATCTAAACCCCTAACAGCCGCCTTGTCCAACAACTGGCAAGAATAGGCTCCGCCCTTCCCATCCATCCGGACCCTAAGCCGAGCTAGGGCTTTTTCGGAGGCGGAACTCTAGTTCAGGGTGGGTTGTGATCCCAGTACCCGGAGCGCATAGCGCATGGACCGGAAGTGGCTCCAGTGGTTATCTTTCCGTCCCGGGGGGCAAAGGCGGCCTGCTGGTGGGGACCTGGGGCCCCTGTGGTGGACCCGAGACGGCAGCGTGGGGACGCCCTGAAAGCAGAGCGGCGGGGCGGCCGGAGGTGTAGGGCCCACCGCTCCCGGCCACGTCATGGCCGGTTGGAGGCTGCTGGCTCGGGCCGGCGCCCAGGTGCGGAGCCGCGGAGCGGGCGGCCTGGGTGCTGCCGGGGTTCTGGGCCACAGGTGGGTGCGCGCCTGAGAGCGGTGTAGGAGGGGGGTGGGAGGGTCCCTGGAAACGGCGCCCTTGAGCTGTGTCGTGGCCCGGCGAGGAGGGGTCAGCCTGGGCTGAGGGGAAGGACCCTCTGTTCAGATCCAGGGACCCAAGCTTAAGGAGCGATACTCAAAGGACGTGCCCTTTAAAGGGTTGAACGAGTTTGTTTGCTTTTAACGCTGATGAGCCAGAACTGATCGCGAGCATTAGCAGCAACCGATAGTATTTGCCTAATAATGAGCGCTTACTGCATACTGAATATCTAAGGTAAAGCAAGCGCCTCAGCTCGTGAAGCATGAGCCAACTGTCGTCCTCCCTATGAATACTATCACTGCTCCGTTGTGCTCGGTTGTGCAGGTAGAGCGGGAGCTTAGAGAGAAGTAACTTGCTTACGGTCACTCAACAAATAAGTGCAAAATAGGGTCTGTCAAAGGGGGACTAGACTACAGAAAACTTTACTACTTTCTGCCTCTCTGCCTCTGTGTGCAAGAATTACACACCACCTTCTTAGCCTTGCTCTCCCATCGTCTTTTTTGGGTATGTTCAAGTAGTCAAGTCTTGTTTTTTAAGGATCCTTTAAATATGGACCTCCAGTTTCCGCATCATTTGGAGCCGAGTTTGCAGGCATGAGGTCGCTGCTCTGAGATTGGCGTTCCACATTCTGCTGCTTCTGCTGGATATAAAAGCTACTGAATTCGGGTTCAGATGGGTCAGTGGCTTCTCTTGTGTCTAGACAGGACTACTTGGAAATCTTTTTATCCTACAGATGAAGAATTTTACTACAGGGTAAATAACGGTTAAAATGCAGCCCCTTGTTATTGCGATTGGCAGGGAGAAATTTTGCAAATTCCAAACCCTTTCCTAAGGCCTAATTACACTTTCCAGCACCCCTGAGTTCCCCTTCACCAAGTGTGGACCTTTTGAATGATGCATGGTTTTCTGATTTTTACTTTTGCAGAACAGACATCTGGCTTTTGGCTAGAAGTTTCCATGGCAAGAGTGGTACTTGGTGGGATGAGCATCTTTCTGAAGAGAATGTCCCGTTTGTTAAGCAGCTGGCCTCTGATGAAAATAAAGCCCAATTAGCAAGTAAACTGTGTCCTTTGAAAGATGAACCGTGGCCTATGCATCCTTGGGAACCAGGTGGTTATTTTCTGCTTGATGAGTTCTCATCCGCTCATTACTGTGTAGCTGGCAAACTCAACAGTCATGCAACCGAGAAATTTATCATCTCTCAGATTTATTTTTCATGTTTAAAGTGGGTCGGTGTTGTTGTGTTTGGTTTTCAACTTCCAGCATTCTGGTTTAGTGTTAGTGAATGTCTGGAATTATTTTGCATACGTTTTCATTCAGACAGAAAAGAGGGGGGTGCAAAGTTGGGAGCGAAACTGTCGTGTGCCACACAGGTGTTTGCAATTGGGATGTTATCTAGCACTCCAGGTTGCCAGCACAAACCAGAATCAGCTCTTTGTGCCAAGAGTGCTAAACCCAGGTGTGGCCAGACTGAGGCAAACAAGCCCTTCCCTGTTGAGAGCGGGGTCTCTGGTTGGGGTTTATTATGACAGTTGCAGCAAAGCCAAGTGTCGTGATGGAGACGGACCCGTTTCGGCAGCAGGCCCACTTGTGCCTCTAACGCCACCCGACCTCTAAGGTTTTGAGTGGTAGATGTTCTCTCGTTAATGAGGCTGGGTAGGATTGGGTTCTAGGGAAGCAAAGCGTAATGGTGGTAGTAATAGAGGTCTGCTGCTTCTCTACTACTACCATATTTTAAAGCCAGAATTTGCTAGTTTACCTGTTGTATTTTATACACTTAAATTTGATTTTAACAAAAATGTATTGAGTACCAATATATTTTGCCAGACATGGTTGAAGACATTTAGCTCTGTTAGACAGTTGAGTTTTACTCTCCAAATACATTAGCAGCCAGATTGTCTGCTCCTCATTGAAACCACAATTTAGGAAAGATTGTTACATCATTGGCAAATCTTGAAACAGTTTACACTGTTTTTAATTGCCAGGTTCCTCTAGAGTAGGCCTTATTGCGCTAAAGCTGGGAATGATGCCTTTATGGACCAAAGATGGTAACAAGCATGCGGTCACATTACTTCAGGTAAGAAACAAAAGGGGTAGTGACTTGGGTGTGTGCTGAGATCTGTTTGTGCTAACCTGAATGATGGCGCATTGTTTGTGTCCTGAAACGTCACTGTGGACAGGGTGATGCTGAGCAGAGACTTAAAGAAGTTGACTTCTGTTGGCCTCAGTGAATGCTCTCAGTCTGCCTGAGTGGCCCCTTTCTTGATACTGGCTTTGAGTAGCCGGCACAGTGGATAAAAACAGACTAACTGGTCTCAATAGTCTGCTAGTTTAGTTCCTAATCAGTGGTTGAAGGGAATATCAGAATCAGCTGGAGGGCTTATAATAAAGTAGAGATTCGGGTTTCCTGGGGTTCCACTGAGTTATGAGACTGCATTTTTAAGTTCCCAAGAGATGTGATGCTTCCTGTCTCAGGGCCACATTCAGAACCACTGCTCTTAGGAAATGAAAATGTGTGTTGGCACAGGGGGCCATGCGGGGACAGGTTAGGAAGTGTGGAGAAGCTTTGAGGATTCTACTTGACATGTGTAGTGGGAACATGTATGTTCTTTGTAAGTACTAATTTTGTTGTAGCTTTATGTTTTACATACTTTTCAGCGTGTGTTATCTGTATGTTCTATATGTGTATTTAACATTTTTTTGTTTTTTTAGTATTTTATGCATTCAAGAGCTGGTGTATTAGGCCAGAGGTGGGGAGGCAAGAGGAGGGGGTGCGAGAAGATTCACCAGAGACAGTGGGGAGCAGATCAGGCAGATGTACTGAAATACACTGCCGAGGGGACCAATGGGCGAGACGGGAAAGGTCGTCTGTGCTAGGGAGGGGGGTCACCTCCCGGGCCGGGGATCCAACTCGTGCTGTAGATAATTTCATAATGCTGAGACTTAACCCCTTGTGCCACCAGAGGACTGTATATTTGACTTTTTTTAAAAAAAGGTTATTTCTGTATTTTAAGATTGTGGTTGATGTTAAAGAGATAAGTAACTTTAAAGACTTCTAATTGTCCTAGGACCTCAATGTGGTTGATATGTAATGTTCAGTGTAGTTCGAGCTATATGTTTAAGGTTTTTTTGTTTACTTTTTTAGGTGCAAGACTGTCATGTCCTGAAATATACTCCAAAGGAAAACTGTGGTGGGAAAATGGCAACTCTCACTGTCGGAGGCAAAACTGTATCACGTTTCCATGTAAGGCTGTATTTTCACTTCTAGAATAGTGTGTTTCTTTATTTTCAAATCCAAATTCTTTGTTTTGAAGCTATTTTATAGTTATAAACTGGATTTTGTCTGTGAAATGAGTTGTGGATATGGGGGGATGTCTTGTCTTAACAGTTAGCCATGGGCATGTGAAGATTAATTTTGTATCTTCTAGAATGAACTTTAGGTACTTGGGAGACTGTATGTGAACCCACATGAATTTTTTTTTTAAAGCATGTCTTCCCAAGTAGAATACTAATAGAATGCTGAGTTTGTAGTTTCTTTTAAAAAGTGTGTGCAATTAGTGTGCTCTTTGGATCACTAAAAGCAAGGAATACCTGTCTAAAAAGGTGATGGTCTTCACGAATGGGTAATGAAACATCTTTGAATTAAGACATATTGCTTATCTCTGAGATAAACATTTGACCATTGTAAATTGCTTACAGCTTAGGGGACAGCTGCCCTAAGTGTCCCCTGCTTCCCGGTCATGGCTAACTTTTATTGAGCATTATGTGCTAGGCATGAAATGTTAACCTTGATTTATTTGTTAACCCATGCAGCCTCTTCAGCCTGTGAGGCGCAGAGGTTAAGTAACTGTCTCAGTCTTGGGGCCACCCCTAGTAAAAGGTATAATAACAGTCAGGCTCCAGAGCCTTTCTTAACACTATGTTGTTATCAACCCTCTAAAACTTGGAGGGAAAGAAGGTGCACCGATAAAAGCCAGCATCCTGGTACAGTTATGTAAATGCAACAAGCACAGAATGGGAGACTGCCAGTTCTGTGTGAGCAAATCTGAGACTTCACAGGGAGGCGAGGAAGGAGAATGGGTATCGGAGTTGAGCCGAAGGGCGTGTTCTCAGCGGCAGAGATGGCAAAAGAGTGTGTGCTTGGACAGAAAACTGGCGCGTCAGGGTCTGTCGTGAGTAGAATGCTGGAGTTTACGCTCCGTGGACTCTGAGGAGCTTTCTGAGTTCTTTAGCTAGGGCACTAACTCGATTGGTTGTCATCTTGGTTAACTAAATGAGAAGACTCTGGACGCAAGGAGGCATTAAGAAGGTTAAGCACTGGGGAGAGTGAAGAAAGCCTTTCAATGAGGGCAGGTGCATTGGGCTTGAAGGGCCAGAGTTGCAAAGGTCCATGCAAGGATGTGTGAAAGGGCACGGGCAGGTCAGTGCCACGATGTAGCCTAGAGGAAACAGGGGAGGGAAGCTGTACACTGAGGTGTTCTCAGAAAATCTAGGTGGAGTTGCCCTGTCTGTTGTGGGGTAGATTGGCCAGCAGTTGGGATGCACGTGGCTGATGGAACTGACAGTGGCCGCAACCGGAAGCGTCGTGTGGTTAGCAGGAAAGAGGCTATTTAAGGCCGTTTTGCAAGATTTAGACTAGCTATTTCTGCCTCTTACATCATAATATCCATTCATTTGTCATTAAAGCTTTAAAAAGAGTATCTTCCCTGCTGTTAATAATTGCCACTTCATTGAGTAAGTTCTGAGTTAGGTGATTCCATAGTAATCAAAAGCACATGAGGTTTTTTTGATTTTTTTTTATGTCAAATACTTGATTTTTTAAAAATATGAAATATGTGCTGGCCTTTTTGTGAACAGTTCTTTGGATTTGGGAGATACCACTGTTTTCCATTTGGCTGTTCTGTGCTTTGTTCCAACCAGAACCATCTTTATTTTTACTACCAATGTTGTAAGTATGTGGCTTTCCAGCCTCTAACCCAGGCATCAGATTGGAACAGCCCGCCCTGCTTCGCTAGCTCTGTGAACATTGCTTCCTCAGAGTTGGTGAGAAAACAAGCAGACGCGGGGTCCAAGAGCTGAGTCTAACCATGGCTTCTCATTGGCTCCCATCATGGCTCGCTTTTGAAGCTTCATTGTTACTTACAAAACAGGAGCTTGGACTTGGTCGCCTCTAACTTCTCTCCTGATTCTAAAAGTCTCAATGATTCTCTGATACATTAATTCTCAAGAAAACACAAAAATTCCGCCCAAGGTCTATTTGGCAGCTGATTTATTTAGTGATGAAGGTATCTTAGATAAAATGTTATTGACATCATACTGCTATTAAAATACTGTAACAGTGACAGTTTAGCCCTTCATGCTTGAGACGCACCTACAGATTTGAGTTCACTCTCCTGAGTAATGCGCAGCACGGCAAGGTGGGTAGGGGGCAGGGCTCTGATGCCGGGTGGACTTTGACCACAGAAGTTACATAAACAGTCATAACTACTCATTTCTCTAGTATTGGAAGTGCTACAAGGACCCTGTTTACTCTTTAAGTCCAGAGGACATTTATTGCAACATTAAGGGAAAAAGCTTTGCGGTTGGTTCACCTTTGTTCAGAATGAGATATGAAAGGGAAGTGTTAAAACTCTCTAGAAGGAAAACATTTTGGTCCAGAAAGGAAAAGATTTTTGGAATTAAAAGTATACAGACTTCTCTTGGATGCTGTTAGCCCTCAGGGAAATGACAAGTAGATAAACTATAGAGGGCTTAAAAAAAAATTCCAAGACTACCACATAGTTAAGATACTAAAATATACATTGAACTGACAGGTTTAATTTAAAACAAAATTAGACCTCCAAGAAACTAGGCTGCTTTGCTTTTGCTTTATTTGTACTATAATACAAATAAAAACTGATGTGGTACATAGTTTTTGAATGCCAAGCCAAGTGCCCTAGAAGTTAATTTAAATCAGTTCGTCTTAGAAACAGAGAAGCATTTCATTGTGTGAGGGGAATTGCAGACATCTTTGAGGGAGGAAAGAGCAGCCTGTGGGTGGGAGGTGCCCAGGTGTGACCCTCCCATCAGGCTTCTAACTTGCTTGAAATCATTTGAAGTTTTTAAAAAACACCTGTTACATTGCTGCTGGTTTCAACACAGCATTTGGCTCTGCTAATGGCTGACACCTAGTTTTATGTTTTTCAAAAACAAAGATGCAAAGCATTTTGATTTTAGTGAAAGTGGTTACTTTTGTTCTTTTTATGTCTTAGTATATAATAATTCAGGTCAAGATGTCAATCTTGTCTATATTACTAAGGTAAGATTATTTTTTCAGAAGCCTCGAGCATACGTAAAAACTGACTCTGGTAAAATAATGCTGTGTAAATTACCAAGTGGACCACGTGCATGTCAAAAACAACATTGAAGTGTGTTCTAAAATTTAATTAACCTGAATGGATAATTCAAGAAAATAATTTCAAGAAACCATATTTTGAAAGGAAGTGTACAGTGTTTGCTTCTGTTGTGGAAGAATTCAGTGTAACTGAGCGAGCAAAGCAGGGCTCTGGTGAGAGTAGTGTTTGGCATTAGCCTTTGATTTCCTCTTGAGGGAAGGGAACACCTGGGTGATGCCTGGATTGTGTGGTCGCTCCGAAGGCAGGGATAGCTTCTGGAGGGAACTCCGGGGTACAGGACAGTTGTCCATGGATGTCCAAGGCAGAGCTGCCCAGCATCTGTTTTGTGATCTTCAGGAGGCCTCAGGGTCATTCTTTGGGTGGGGAAGGAGGGCGAAGTTCCAGACTTCAGGCCAGAGCCACCCAGTTTCACACTTACTGCAGGCAGGCCTCTAGGTCAGTTAAAGAGGAGCATTAACCGCTCACTTTTTAAAAAATCACTAACTACCTGACTTACTGCACATTCAGTCACTACACAGACCATCTGGCTGTGCAGGTGGACGATTGGAATTTGGGGGAAAAGTACTTTGTTATAAGAGGACATTAGTGTCCTCTTAAGTTCATTAGGATGTTTTAGTTGCTTTTTTCTGTTAACAAATGACTATTTGGCTTAGGGGTCAGAGTTGTTTTTTGCAAATGTGCTCATCCTCAGTGTAAGTTGCAGTGTTTATTTTAGGCCTACAGATCTTAGTAACAGAGGCCGTGCTCTGTTGGGCTGCAGACACTGCAGTGTGTGTGCTGAGAAGTGATGCAGCAGTGGCCAGAGTAGAAAGAAGGGTGACTTGGAGGACACACCAGGACTCTGTACCCAGACTCCATTGCCTGTCTTTTCACCCTTCATTCAGCTCACTCTTGCAGTGTCTGTTTGCCACTGTGATTAAAGTTGGAGACACAAGAGAATGAAGCAACTTCCACTGGCTGGGTCATCAAAAGCCTGAAAGTCAGGTAGCTATGTATGTGGTGTGGCCGATGGCTGGGGTGCAGGCAGGGCCTAGGGATGACATCGACAGGAGCTGTCTGCTCTGGTGAGACAGCTGGACAGCAGATGCCACTGTCACTGGGACTAGACACCTGTTGAACAGATTTTTTTTTAAAGATTTATTTATTTGTGCATACAGAACTGGGGCACAGGCCAGAAGCTCAGGGGCGGTGAGAGGCTTCACCAGAGACAGAGTGGGGAGCAGAACAGACAGATCGACACTGCTGAGGGGAGCAGCGGGCGGGTCAGGAGAGGTCTGCCACGCCATGTGGTCACCTCCGGGGCAGGCGGGACTCGAACTCATGTGGAAGTGGCTTTAGATTCTCAGTGCTGTGCTTTAACCCGCTGCGCCACCAGGGAGGGCCCTGAACAGATTTTTTTTAATAAGTTTATTTTTACATCATTTTGTACTTTTTTTTTTTTTATCTCAATTGTAATCCCCGTGGGTTTCCCATCACCAAGTTGTTGAACAGATTTTTAATGAGTGGTACAGGGGGAGGAAGAGATTGGCCCAGGCAGGTGGGTAAGGACGCATACATAGTACATTGTCTCTCAGGGCTTTCAGGTGCTTCATTACGATTGGAGGGCAGTTGAGGGAGCAGGAACAACAGGAAGCGAGACACACCTCTGTTGGCTGTATTCTGTTGGAATGAGGCGTATAAGCCAGAGGCTCAGGGGCAGTGAGAAGATTCACTATAGACAGAGTGGGGAGCAGAACAGGCTGACAGATGAAGCACACTGCTGAGGGGAGCAGCGGGTGGGTTAGGAGAAGTCTGCCACTCCGTGTGGGTCACCTCCAGGGCGGGGATCGAACTCATACTGAAATGTGCCACCAGGAAGGGCCCGGAATGAGACATTTTTAACAGTTAAAAAATAAGGTTCCAGTGTTTTCTATTCAAGGATACTTTTCAAAAGAGATTTACAATAGTGAGAGTGAGGTGTTGGGGGTATAAAGGTGCAGGAGAAAGCAGACAGCAGGACCCCCGACAGGGGGTGTAGCAGTAGCAAACTAAAGTCGCTGCTCCTGGGTGTGAGACAGAAACTGTTTCATTGATGATTAAACAATACAGATGTATCTGTAGCAGCAGGTGGAAGTGCTGTGAGAAGTAATAAAGTAACTGGAGGGATTACAAGGTGTCAGGTCCGCTGTTTTAGATGAAATGATGAGGAAGGTAGGCTGAAGTTGGCAAGAGCAAGTCACGCAGGAATCTGAGGGGGGTCATTCTAAGCGGGGTGGGGGCAGACAGGATAGCAGAGGAACTGAGGCAGGGTTGGGTGTGTTCTTGGAGCTGTGAGGACTGCATTGTACCTGAAGCAGCGTGAGCCAGCACAAGTGGCAGATGAGGGGAGATTGAAAAAGAACCTCGTAAACGATGATAAGGACTTAGGACTTGATTCTGCACGAGCTGGAATCGCAGAGACGTGTGCTCTGAAAGGGTGGCACCAGCCTGAAAGTGGAGCGCAGGCTCGGGCCCAGGGGCAGCTCCGTGCCCAGGGAGCAGCTTTTCAGGTCACCTGGGCAAAAGGTGGTGGTTTGGGCTGGGGAGGAGAAGTGGTGGTATGGGCTGGATTTTAAAAGTCTGTCAAGTACTGTTGATGGGTGAGGTGTGAGGAAGAGAGGAGTCAAGGGTGACCTCAAGGTTTTTGGTCCAAACAGCAGAAGTTTGGAGTTAACACCTGTTGAGATTTGGAAAAGCAGGAGAGCAAGCCTGTGGAGTGTTGTTCAGTGGAGGCACTAAACTTGAATTGCTGTGAGATGACAAAGTGGGGTATTGATTTGGCAGTTGGTCATAGGAATTTTTAATTGAAGAGTAGAATTTAGTGTTGACATTAGAAATGGAAGGTCACTAGCATGCGCAAACAGAGTAGTGAGTTGTCGCATGTGCCGAGCTTTGCTGATAGAGCCAGTGAAAGAAACATTGATTATTTCACCACGTGTCGTTCACTTTTTTTTGTAGTATTAGGGACTGAAAGCACCTGATGTTGACTACAAGAACAGGACCGGGAAAAGTAAACTCAGAAGGTCATACAAGGAAATTTGCGGTAGGGGCGTGAGAAAGATTAGCTAAAGGAGACTGATCAAGGCGAAGTTTTGCCCTAGTGATTTTTGACGTCTTTGCATCTGGCATGAAGCTTCCAGTAGGAAAGGGGACTGTTGATTCAGAAGATGGTGGGCACAGTTTCAGTCTGCCTAGACTTGGAGGTGGATGGCAGCTGTGGTGAGGGATTTGATTTGGCAATGTGGGGACAGCTCATGGCAAGCCCCAGCCGGTTTCTCGTCACAATCCATGGAGTGCCTTAAGGATGCACTCCGGGGCACCCCCGTGGACCAGGGGAGTTGCGGCTCCGGAAGAGGCCCTCAGCCTTGGCGTCTCGTAAAAGCGCTGCCTGTGCTTCTCATGCAGCCTGAGTGGGACGAGAGGACGATGGGAGGTGAGGACCAGTGCACACAATTGGCTTGATTTGGTGACACGAACACGGGCAGTGCTTTTGATTAGTCTGTTTTCTGCAATGAGCACTGTGATCAGCTAAACATTTGGAGAAGGGACATTGCTGGAGGTTTTAAAAAAGGATGTGTTGCCTTGGAGAGTGTGAAAGTGACCGTGTAGGTTGGGACTCATTTTCAAATGTGTGACCAAATTAATTGCAAATAAGTTTCAGCTGCTTAGAAGATGGGGCGTAGAGTCGACAGACTTGCACAGGATTGGGGTTCTCAGTACATGCAGTCTCTAGTCTGAATTCAGATATGAGTACAGTGGTGTTTGTCCTGCAAAACGGAAATCTTCCCCCGTGTGCTCTGTATGGATTGTGCACGTGTTTGGATCCTAACTGCAGTGGGTTACAGGTAAAATCTTATTTCCCTTAAATGAGGGAAGCAGGGTGCTCTGATTTCTGGAGTGTTAATAACTTGATTTGTATCTCTGTGTACTAAACTCTACCCTTAGTATTCAAAATAGTATTTGTGTGCTGCTTTCCCTCAGAAATCACCATCTATATTGGAATTTTACCAAGAACTTGGATTGCCGCCAAAACAGAAAGTGAAGATCTTCCGTGTAACCGATAATGCTGTGATTAAACCAGGTAATCTGAGGTCGAGGGGAGGAGGGTGGTAAAAATACCCAGATATGTGATTTGTTTAATGTCAGCCCTTTCAATAAAGCTGAATCCAAAATACACTTAAAACACTTACTTTTAAATATAAAAACACATCTGATTTAATCACTGGGGACAAGTGAACCTCTTTCTTTTTTCAGTGGAGCTGTAGAGAACGTTTTGTTTTCCACAAGAGAGGGAGGAGCGCTTGTGTCAATGTACAGAGTTTCACATTTGGAAAAGCCACTCCAAATACACAAACTTTTAAAATGAAATTCACTGGCACGCTATTAGATGAAAAATAGCTTAACTCGCTAAGAAAGAATTTGAGAAACTAGAGCTTGCAGTGGGGGTGATGTAAATATTCTTATTTAAAAATATCAAAATATTTTACCTGACCCATAGAGTATCAAAAAGTAATATTTCACACATGATTATATTGATTTATACAGATTTTGAATTTCAAAGAAGCTCTCAGATCCTTTGAACTTGAGTTCTAACAAAGTGGGCAGTAGAACTTTTAAAGACTTGGTATTTTAATATCTGAATTAAATTTCTTGAAGTGAACTACAGTGCAGTAGACCTTACTGGAGTGGCAGAGTCGGCCTTCATATAGGCTAGAATTAGAAGTATTTTTTTGAAGTGCAGGTTTTGCAACTTTAAGGTTAAAATTAAACAAAGGAGTATAAAGATTAAGTCCACGCTAATTTCTACTGTCATTCAAACCATGTTGAAATTGTTTTTGTGGGTGGAAAATAGTGAATATCAGCAGTTTAAGTCATTCAGACTCATGAAAATTCAGCCATTTTTAATCTGTTTTCTTTAGGTCAGAATGCTTCTCTTCCTGTATAAATCCAGATTGGGTCTCCCTTAGAGGAGACTGTATATGAACTAGAACATTTTGCCCCTGTTTAAAATGAACAAAAATTGAGCTCTTACAGCTCTAAATGTTTGTTAAACAGGTTTATTATTGTTACTTTCAGTTCTATTCTCTGACACTGGTTATTTTATTTAAAGAAATCTCTTGTGTTAATCTTGATTCTTCACTTAGATGGTATATTTCGTGCTGACAAGCCATGTCTTACAATTCTGTGTTTCTGACAGTACAGATTACCTACAGATGTTCATAAATTAATTGCCAAATTAAGTAGTTCTCTTACATATTGATTCCAAATTGTTTAAACAAAAAATGAAGCCCTTTTATTTTGAGAGTCCTTTAAATACTGTTTCCCAAATGTAATTAAAGTAAGATTTTATTTATACACGACTAGCTTTGGGAATGTTCATGTATAAAATCAGAGGTGCCTATGGCAGTGATTCTGTCACCCCAAATATCTGGGCACATGCTGGTGTGACTTTTATTGGAAGCATGACCAGTTCACCAAAAATCTGCTATGTAAACTTCATATGGCTACAATAGTTCCCATAATCACTACCCAACATCAGATGGACCTTGTTCAAATAACTAGAGTTCCTATTTTGGAGTAACTTAATCTCCAGTGGATAAAAATGGTTTCACCTAGCCAACATGTTTTAGTCATTCCCTTGTTTTTATTTTCCTTATATATGATAGGAAAATATCTTAATGCAGTATTTTCTCATTCACCAAAATGACCAGCAGTCATCAAACTCAGACTTGCCCACAAGAATACCGTTGTTATGAAGGCGCCAGCCAGCCATAGTCTGTGGCTTCTCCAGCCCCCAGGGCCTTGTGCGGGGCAGCTGTGCTTCAGCTCTTACAGTGGGAAAGCACATTCGTTGACCAGTTTTATTGTTTAGAGTGGTATAACTGCAGAAGGGAATCCTACCATTTTTGAGATCTGATATTTGAGAAGACATCTTGAATGTAGTATGTTTAGTGAAGCTGTTTCTGGGCTGACAGATTCACTTTTTTTTTTTCTCTTTATAAAGGCACTCCTCTTTATGCTGCTCACTTTCGCCCGGGACAGTACGTGGATGTCACAGCCAAAACGTAAGTTCACCTGATAGGTGCTGTTTTCCTTATCTTTAAAAAAAAGACGAGTGAAAGAAACGCTGTCTTCCAAGTCAGTGCCTACCAGAGAAGTAACCATTATTCCTACTCATCATTCTAATCTCTGATATTACTGACTATTGGTTTTAAAACTGCACTGCATTGGGCCCTCCCTGGTGGCGCAGTGGGTTAAAGCACAGCACTAAGAAGCTAAAGCCACTTCCGCATGACTTCGATCCCCGCCTGCCCCGTAGGTGACTACATGGCGAGGCAGACCTCTCCTGACCCGCCTGCTGCTGCCCTCAGCAGTGTACTTCGTCGATCTGCCTGTTCTGCTCCCCACTCTGTCTCTGGTGAATCCTCTCACTGCCCCTGCACCTCTGGCCTGTACCCCAGTTCTGTATGCACAAATACATAATATCTTTAATTAAAAAAAAAAGAAAAACTGCACTGCATCAGTTGTGTGTCAAGAGTTCACGTCACTCACAGCCTGATGACCGAGACGTGTGATCAGCTGCTGCTGGCGGGCCCTAGAGAGGGTTCCTGCTGCTCAGGGCTCGCCCCTTTCTCTTTTGAAGACAAGAGCAGCATACTGTTGGTGAAATATAAATGAGCAACGCAGAAGGGGTTCTTTTGAGACTATCGTGTAGTTTAGTACTTGACTTTTCTTCAGTTCTGGGAAACCATTAAATTAGAAACAACTTTTTATGCTTTGTGATGGTGTTTGTGCCTAGGGCTCCCCTAGGGTAACTGTTAAAAGTACTTCTGTAGCTGGTAAAAGCCTCTCTGAAGCTCGAGGGCGGATAGTCGCACTCCACCTCTCCAGAAGCATGACTAGATAAATGAGAAATGAGTTGTTTTTTTTTAACCTAAAGGTTTAATTTCTTATAAATCAATACACAGTCGCCACTCTAACAGACATGTTGGCTTGGAGTTCTGTTTAGACGAGGCAGTGGTTCACACCTCTCCATGTCTCAGGTAAACGCATACTGGCTGCCTGCTCGCCAGGACTTGTAGATCTCACAATAATGTTTTCACACGCTGAGATGACCTCACTCTAGAATGATGTAACCAAATGTCTATTTATGTAAAAATTGTTCAGTGTAGGTTATTAGAAGCCACATGACTGAGGCAATATTAAATTCCAAATATCCGCTCTTGTCGATTTTCATGTCATTCTGTCAGTGTATATAAGGGCATGTCTTTATGTGCCTCGGGTTTTCTGTTTGGTCATTTGACAGTGTTCAGCCTGTAGGCCGGGTAAGTCCTGACTAAGAGCCTTTGAAAATGAACAGTAGCCCATAGGTGCCCCGAGATGCCTTTATGATCAGTCACTTATGCCAGAGCAACTTTTTTTATTTTTTTAAAGATTTATTTATTTATGTATACAGAACTGGGGTACCGGCCAGAGGCCCAGAGCAACTTTTATTCAAGGCAATGAGATGAGTTTCCATACACGGTTGGTTGTAGATAATGTCTTCATTTCCACACTGTTGCATCGTTTCAAATAATGGGCCACTCAGCCACTGCCGGATGCCCTCGCCCTGGGCTCTTTAGCAGTAGAGCAGAGCAGGCTGGCAGTAGGGTGTGTCTCCTTGGGGAGAGATTATGAACCCCTCCATTTTTTCCTGCCTGATTGTTGCAGACTCAGTTCCTTACATTGAGATGATGTGTGTTTTGTGTGATATGTTGGGGGAGGTGAAGCAGATGACTTTAATTTTGAGTGATTACATATAATAATCACTACCCCACGCTAATCCTGTTAATTTCCGACAGTTAATAGTGTATGAATTCCATTATACATTTTACAGGGTGTAGTAGGCATTCTGAGAAGCCTGTAAATCAGAGACCTTGTTAGCAGCTGCCTTGAGGCTGGACTGTGGCCTGCCTGGGTGAGCGCTCAGCTCTTCGGAAGTCTTGTGTTCCACGATGCTGTCATCGCAAATGTTGCTTCTGGGTTTTCTTGACTACTTGGAAGTTACCTTTAAACTGTCATCATCTTGTGAATATTAAGTGAATGGGTCAATCTTTTGTTTGTGTTTTAAGTTCACATACGTAGAAAACAGGACTGTGGAGAGCCACTGCACGCCTCAGGCTTGGATAGCTGGTGGGGTCCAGGAGATGTCCAGCCCCAGGGTCCAAGGTGTGGCCAGCTCTGGAGGAGGGAGGGTCTCCCTGTGGGAAGATCCTCTCTGTGGTCCAGGCTGCAGTCCAGCGCTTCATTCTGACAGTGTGACCTGCGGGGAGGCGGGCACAGGTCTTGCTGCCCCCTGGTGTGTCCGGCCATACCTTCCTGTGGCGTCCCGGCCATGCCTTCCTGTGGCGTCCCGGCCATACCTTCCTGTGGCGTCCCGGCCATACCTTCCTGTGGCGTCCCCACCATGCCTTCCTGTGGCGTCCCCGCCATGCCTTCCTGTGGCGTCCCCGCCATGCCTTCCTGTGGCGTCCCCGCCATGCCTTCCTGTGGCGTCCCGGCCATGCCTTCCTGTGGCGTCCCGGCTGACAGGTGTGCTGGTTTTGACTTAAAGTCCCAGTCACTAGGGCTCTGGCAGCTGGTGTGCTTCAAGGGCCTGTACACGCTTGTTTGTCTTAACCACTTGTCCTTGTCGTGTGGAGCTGATTTGAACTCAAGAGCAGCAGCTCAAATTAACGTCCAGTTGAGGTTCTTTGTTTTTCTTGTGCTGTCATAATTATTTTAGTTGTTAAATATCTGCTTTTATTTGTAATGTTTCAAGTTTTTTCCAGCTTTATTTTAACTGGATAAAATATGCTTTAGAAATAACTAAATTTTAAAGCAAAAAGAGTAAGAAAATACCATATTAAGTTAATAGAACCTCTTTACTTCAGAGATTAAATATTCTTTGGGCTTTTTTTTTTTTTTTAAAGATTTATTTATTTTTGCATACAGAACTGGGGTACAGGCCAGAGGCTCAGGGGCGGTGAGAGGCTTCACCAGAGACAGAGTGGGGAACAGAACAGACAGATAGACAAAGTACACTGCTGAGGGGAGCAGCGGGTGGGTCAGGAGAGGTCTGCCACACCATGTGGTCACCTCCGGGGCAGGCAGGAATCGAACTCATGCGGAAGCGGCTTTAGATTCTCAGTGCTGTGCTTTAACCCGCTGCGCCACCAGGGAGGGCCGGGCTTTTTTTTTTTTTTTTTAAGTAACCAACAGAAGCAGCGTCATCTTTAAAATTTCTGCATGTTTTTCTTTAATAATTGCATTGGGAAATGTGCGTACGTTTATGTTTACTTGTGATAAAATTAGGTATGATTCTCTATATAAATAGTAAATGTACCAGTTGGGGCATGAGGTGAATATACATTTACCAGAGATCATTTTAGTTTTCATTTTTATATCAAAAATCGCTTTTCATCTGAAGGGTCTGAGAATAGAAACTCAATTCAAATTATACGGGAAAGATTTTGATACCTAATACGTGAAACCATTCCAGCAGAATAATCTTTCAGTTTCATTATGGCACTGCTAGCTAAAGAAGCCCAGTCTCTGAAATACAGCAGCTTTGTGTAACTCGACTGCGTAAGAACTTAACTCACGTGCGTGATGTATCTGTCCCCTGCCCCCCAGCCTGTGTGTTCGGGGGTGGCAGTTATATTCCAGTGCAGTTTCCAACAGAGATGCTAAAATTCTCCCTCCTAGTTTTGAGGAGGAAGCAGCTGTAGCTCATGTACAAGCAGTGGGTGAAGTGAGGTTGACTGGATTGGGCGCTCAGCATAGGGTGTTCAGCCTGTTTTGTTACATCCTGGCGCTGCTTATTATCATTGGAAGGTGTGTTGTCATTTTTCATTCCTTTCTGACTTCAAGAAACAGAATAAGCAAAAAGAAAACAGTGAAAATCTGTGTTGCCTTGTTTGGGGAGAATGTTGGGCCTCTGTCTTGGGACATGCAGGGTATGTGGATGACGCCTCTGGTGCAGTGGGTACCTGGCACTTCCCACTGCGTGTGTTACTGAACTTGGTATTGGTAGCAATGATCTGAAGTCATTTCTGGTTGTCTGGATTTTTACTTATGCATGTATTTATTTAAATTTTAAATCGAGACTAAAATCAGAACAGTACCTCTGCTTAAAAAGATTTTCTTTTGAACAAGGAGAACCTAAAAAGTCTACTCACTAATTTGGACAAATTAAAACAGCCCATATATTTGCAGGCAGGGTCTTAATTACCTTAATATCAATTTCTGGCGTAGTCTTTTTGGGGGTTTAGGGAGGGAGCACCACTGAACCTCCAAACCTGCCTGCTCTAAATTGGTTCTGCCATCCGCCGCATCAAGACAAAACATATAAGACTTTAATGAAAAGGAACCTTGATACAGTGAGTCTACAATATGAAGACAAAGAATATAATTTCTAAATCAAACACCTGAAGTCACCCATCCCCTCGTGGGCAAAAGTCCACCCAAGAGGGATTGGCCCAAAGCAAGGCCTGAAAGCTGCCACAAGCCAAAAGCACCTTCTGGCCACGACCCATAGAAAAGGGTTAGACATGGCCAGACAAGTCTGGGAGGAAAAGAGCAAAATCAAAATCAATATAAATGCTGCCATAGTCAGCATCCCCACAGGTCTCTCACCCACATGGCTTTCAACCAGTCCAGGGTCAAGAAACAAGCACAGTTTCTTCCTCACATGCTTGCTGCTCCACGTGGCTTCCTCAGATCTCCTTCTGGCTCTCCATCCTGCGTCTTTCTTCAGTTTCTTTCTCTTCTTTTCTCTGCTCAGCTGCCCCTTCCTTCTGGGTGGGGCAGGAACCTGGAACTTCCCCTTTTCCTGGAGAACGTCCTATTACATTATTACTTTCAAGTTGTTACTGTCATTTAAATTCTCATTATACTTTGACCTCAGCATGAAAACTATGCACTTACCTTGGAGTTGTCTGGGGTATTAAAACTGTAGGGCACTGGGGGGTTAGATGAAGGACAGAGCCCCTTTGCACATACTGAGATTTGATTAGAGTGGAATCTTTCTTTAAAATATCAAAATGTGTATGGAAGTATTGTTGCCCACTAGATGCTTTAAAGCTGATTCAAAAGCCAGTGGATCTTGGTTTTTTGTATTCCACTTTGTTGGTTCCCCCTTTAAAGCAAGCCTGTTCTAAAGGAGCAGAGGACCCCAGGCTCCCCCAGTGTCCTGCTGTTCCCGCAGGGCGCACCCCAGTGGCCTCAGCTCACACAGCTACTTCCCCCTAGGGGATGTCTGCTGGGGGCTGGAGCAGGGTGCAGCTGCTGGGGGCAGTTGCTGTAGCCCTGCATGTTTTCAGTGTTGCCTCGTTTTTTTTATGTTACCTTACAGACTACTCAAAGTAGTGAAAATGTTTAAGCGTGTTGATGAAACAATTTTCAGAATTATGTTTAGACAGAAGTAGTTTCTAAAAAAATCCTCTTAAATCAGTCACAGTAAATACTTTCCAAATAAAGGCTAGCATGTGGGTGATTCAGGGTTAATTTTGTTGTTCATTTGTATCCTAGACATTTCTAATTGCCTCACTGTAAAGCTACAGAGGAGCACTTTCTAGCCCAGAGTCAGCAAAGTGAGGCCCTAACGGGGCCATCTAGGTAGAGACTAAAGCCGTAGGCTCTGCTCCCAGCTCTGGCCTGGATGGCAGCCTCAGCCTGCCGCCTCACTTTCTGTAACGGACTCGTGACACACCTGCAACAGCTGGTAGTCCTGTGGCGAGAGGGCTGTGACAGAAAGCTCTTCACTCAAGACTGGATGCTCAGGACTGTGGACTGTTACGGCCACTGTTGATGTACTGCTATAAAATTCGTTTCATATTTGAAAAGGAAAAAATCTGTTTTCCTCAATAGCAAATAGCTTTTGAAATGCATGAACGACATTAGGAATTCAATTTTGGAATTCTCTAATATAAAATTGTTGTCTTCTTTAGTCTATTGCATAACAAAGTAGTAACTTGACAAAGCACGCTAGGAAATGTTAAAATTACATACTACTGCTAAATGCAGACTTTATCGGATACTGAGAAGGCTCTTCAAATAGCTCACGCATGACTGACCCGCTGGGTATTTTTGTATTTTGGTTATAGTCTATTGCTCAGCCCGGGCAGCATGGCCTGGGGTGAAAACATGACCAGAGGCGTCCATAGGCCAGGGGCTAGACCTTGGGGTGGGGCCTTAAGTTCTGCATGGAACTTAGAGAATGCATGGAATAAGTGGTTTCTAAGGTGCCTTTCAATTCTGAAAATCTGACTTTCCAGGTGGCAAGTAAAACATAACAGCCGATTCATAGCGCTTGGTCATATGGTCTCCTGATCAATTTAAATATAAAATGATATGTCCAAAGACCTTCAGGAAACTGCTAGGTTCATTCATGATATTACAGAAATTGTTCATTTGAATTTTTCTTTCTGAGAACCGCAGACTGAACTCAGGACAGCAAGGTATTCTGAGTTTGTTCAGAACAACCTGGAGATGTCCCCTTTTTATAAGAGGAATCAAAGGAATCACGGCTTAGTTGTCTTTCTGAGCTATTGAACGAGCTGGATTTGCTGTCAGAAGTTACAAGTAGTGCCCCCTTAGTGGTCACTTAATGATAAGTGTTTCCAGATATTGATGGAAGGTTTATGATTTTGAACATGTTCCATCACAAGTATTCCAACCTGGCAAACGTCTGTATGGCTTTTACTCTCCAGCATGTGGTGGAATGCAAAGCACTGGAAAATTCCACCATGACTGACTGTTGCATTCAGAAGCTCTACAGCACTGCCCAGACAGGCTTAGTCAACACAGAACTGGGCTGGAAAACTGACTCCTACACTGGGGGTGTTCAGTAGGATGCTGTTAGCTTTGCAGTGTGAGGATGTGGAAGGTAGGTGATACCTGGGTGAGTTTGTTGAACTGAAGAGAAGCTGTAGTAAGATTCAAATGTTTGTGATGTATTAGTTCAGCATGAAGTAAGTGCTGACCCTGATGGAGCATTGCATCAGCTGATATGGCCTTTTATATATGTCATTTATTTTAGTAAAAATTGTCCTTTTAAAGTTACTGGAAGTTGATTTGTTTTAAAATTAAAAGCATTTGGGCAAGTTGAACCTACGACATGGAATAAGTTTTTATCCTACAGGAAATTCTTATGATTATGATTTAGACATTATATTTTTATATAAGCCAGCTGTACTTTTTCACAATTTAACATTTCATCTTATTCTAACCCATTCTTGGTGGATCAGTGTTATAATTTGGCAAGGGTCTGACAAGAGTCTCTACTTCTCGTCTTTCAAAAGTTACATTTAACCATAGAGAAGCAGGGTTTAAGCCAATGATTTTTCACCTCTCACCCACCTCCATTTTTATCTAGTAAATACAAAATTAGAGAAGTCCAGCCGTTCTTTCTTTCCTTCAATACTCAGTTGCTAGTTTTCTGAGGGATTATATACAAATCACTTCAACTTTTTACAGCATAAGTTAACTAAAGAGAGAAGGTTAAAACTTAATTTGGAAATGATTCTGATTGAAACGTGTCTACACATACAGTATGAATTTTGAGTTCTTGAAATATTTTGCAACTGATGCAACACCCGATGACAGATAGTTCTGGTTCTTTCATAGTAATAATAGAAAAATAGAGTGATGGGCGTTTGAAGCTAGGGAGCAGAATGAGCAAAGGCATGAAAGTGGGGTATCGGGGGTTCATGGAATAACTTCTGTGGCTAGGATTTGTGATGGGTAGTGTCTGGACCCAGTTATAAAAGACCTTATATTCTCCAAACTAAGGAAGTTATTGGGGACCTTTTAAGGTTGTGGGGTTTTTTGTAAAGACTTATTTTTATTTATACATACAAGAACTGGGGTATAGGTCAGAGGTGCAATGGGGTGAGAGGCTTCACCAGAGACAGAGTGGGGAGCAGAACAGGTAGATCTACTGAATTACGCTGCTGAGGGGATTAGTGGGTGAGACAGGAAGGGTCTGCTGCGCCGTGTGGTTACCTCTTTGGCTGGGGATTGAACTCATGCTGGTGTAGCTTGACAGCACTGATTTTAACCCTTGCGCCACCAGGGAGGCCCCGGTTGTTGCTGTTTTGCTTGTTTTTGTTACTGCTGTTTTGCTTTAAAGCCTGGGCTGGCTTGTGTGGTGAGATGATTATCATGGGAATTTTCACCCCATGACCATGTGAACTTGACCAGAGGGAGCTGTTTGTTTCTGCAGTGTTTCTGAGGCGCTTCTGCTTGCCTTACCTCTGTGGCACAGGGCAGTAGCAGGGTCCTGCTGCAGGGGCAGACTTTGTGAAGCTCCAATATTAGTAATAACTTCTAGGGCTCGGCAGACTTTTTTCTCAAAGGGCCAGATAATATCTTAGGCTTACAAGCGTGTTATGGTCTATTACAGTACACAGCACTGCTGTTCTGACTCTAAAACAGCCATAGTCCGTGTGTAAATAGCGCAGGCTGTGTTCCAGTGAAACCTTTGCAGGAACAAGGGCCAGTGCAGGCCATCGTTGCCAGGCCGTGCAGGGCTTCGTGCCGAGCGGGTCAGGACTGCGGGCCATCTGTCTGCTCACGTTGCTGAAGGCAGAGAGGACTTGGTCAGAGCACTAAGGAAGCAGGAGTGTAGGCAGGGGTTGATGATTGGTGGTGGTGGGAGGAGGGTGGTGAGAAGGGAGGATGGAAGACAGCTTTAAGAGACATGGGAATTTGAACCTTGACGGTATGTTCAGAACTGACTAATTTTTTAAGATTGTGATGTGGCCTTATAGTTTTACATTTTAAAAGAACCCATGGGCCCTCCCTAGTGGCGCATCAGGTTAAAGTGCAGCACTGCAAGCTAGCTGCAGCCGCCTCTGTGCAAGTTCGATCCTGGCCCCGTACACTCGGGCAGCTTGATGGACGCTTGAGTCTCAGTCCTTGCATTCTGCCTGCACCACAGAATGTGTGTCTAGCAGAATTTAAAAAGGGTGGTGTAAAAATTTAAATACTAGGTTTTTTAAGATACTGTAGTCTGATTTTTAATTCATTGTTTTCAATTTAAACACTGAGGCCAAGATCCAAGGTTTTGTTTTTGTTTTTTTTTTTTTTCTAAAAATAAAACTTGGTCAGCATTGAGGACATTTTTACTGCTTTATTTAGTGTTTTCTTATATCTGTTGCTCCCTGACATGTCACCCTAAGACAAAACAGTTTAAAACAATGAAGGCTTAGTGGCTTTGTGTTCAGGAAGCCAGGACACTTAGCTGGGTGCCACTGTCTCAAGCCCTCTCACAAGGCTGCAGCCAAAGCATCAGTCACCTCAAGGGCGCACTTGGGCAGATACGGCCCCGTGCCGTCAGCGAGTGCAGGTTCGCGCGTTGGCTGGAGCCGGCCCTGCACGGCTCTGAAGGCGCCTCTGCTGTGGTGGGCGGCTCCTCCAGGGCCGCCAGCCTGAAGCGCAGGGAGGCTCCGTCTTTGTGTCCTAACGCCCGAGGAGACAACTCGGCATATTTGTGGCAGCCTCTTCTGTAGAAGTCTCCCAGACGCCACCAGAGCCGCTCCACGGGGCACGAGTACCACGACGTAGGGATCATACAGTCACCTGCCACGTAGCTTCTAAGTACTTTGGAGTGTGTAGGAATCCACGGTTAAACTGTTTTACAGGATCCTAAAACATTCCCTGTTCAGATAGAATTCCCTTTCCTTAGTTTGCTATTGTCTCATGATATTGAATTAATCATTTTATGTACAGTGAGACTCCAGGAAGGGGTGATAAAGGCTGGCTCGTTTGCAGTTTTACAGAGCCTTTTCTAGTTATTTAGATAAGGAGCTTTAGAAAAGCTGAGGTACTGTCAAAAAATGTACGATTGGGAGTATTTTATGTGCCGTTCATATAAATTTTAATGTTTATCTTGTTCAGTATTGGTAAAGGTTTCCAAGGCGTCATGAAAAGATGGGGATTTAAAGGCCAGCCTGCTTCTCACGGTCAGACGAAAACTCACAGGAGACCTGGAGCTATTGCGACTGGTGTAAGTATAATATAGTGCTGTTCTTTGAATGCTAAATGTTCCATTTCTGCGCATACAGTACTGTGGTGTGTCCTGGGATCAGATCTTAAAATTTTTAATCTGAGTCCTGGTGGTTTCCAGCACTTGCCACTTCTGTGAGCCTGACTGAATGATCTAGTTGGACCCCGCTGCTTATCGCCAGTATTCAGTGTTTCCCGGCTGCTCACCCCTGTCTCCCACTCTGTAGGCTCAAGCCACCTGCAAGAAACAGAGCACTAGAACCCCTTTCCAGCTCACCCCACTGGCTACCTCAGATTTGGCTTTTGCTTTGAAAAAGAGTTGGGAAGATTGTCAAGGACAATATTATAGTTCAAGGGAAAATGGTGATGAAATCGAGCACAGAAGTGGAGGGCTCTTGTATTGCTCATCAGCCCTGCTCTCCCAGAGGGGGACCATCAAATGGCAGGAGAGATTTTATCCTTTGGAGTACCAGAGTAAAGCAAGATCAGTCTTTAGAGATTAACGACTCTCAAATAAGTAATACAGCTTAAAGCTACTCACTACTCCCCTTGTAGATTGCATTATCAGTCTGTTTAATCTTGCCTATATGTTGATAGGAAGGCACTCACCTCACTGGAGGGGAGGCAAGAGAGTGCATCCTTCATGTCAGTCAACATCTAACGCTGCTCATGTAGTATTTCCCCCCGACACAACACTCCTGCTCTTAGGGACTTACCCTGAAGGTATTCTTTCCAAAATATAAAAATGCTTTCACACACAATTAGTCTTTGCAAATATTTGTGACGACATGCCTAAGTGTCCACGAGCAGCGCTGTGTCTACACTGCAGGACACTGTGCACCTGCAACAGCGGGAGCAAGTCGGTGTGTGAGGGAAACACACAGACTTGTGCGTGAGTCCTCGGCGTTATTCATAACGGCCCCCGAAGGGAGACAATCCAAATGCCCCAGTCAGTGAGTGGGATACATCGGTGCATTCATACATGTCTGTGGCAATAAGTGGGGTGAAGTGCTGGCACGTACTGCAGGGCGGGCAAGCCCGGGAGCCTGCCAGGTCGCAGAAGTGGCCACAGTAGTGCGCGTTGAGATTGTTGTGTGAAGTGTCCGTCTGCACAGCTGGAGGGTAAAAGGTGAGTGGTGGCTACAGCAGCCTGGGGCTGAGAGGGGTGTCCAGTGACAGCCCTCTAACAGGGTCTAACAAGCTTTGGAACTTGTAAGGTGAGGAAATGATCTAAAATCGGAATACAGTTACTGTATTGAAAACATTTAATGTCCGCTTTAAAAGGGTGTCGCATACTAATTACATTTCAAAAATCACAATATAACTTATTTAATCACAAATCATAATCAGATTAGGTCCTCCCATATTGCATCTGTTCCTGACTCGGATTATGAGACGCACTGCTCTGTGTTCATGTCCTTCCATGGGATTAGCTAGTAAATGCTAACACTTCATGAGCATATATGAATGTCATTATAGAGGGTATAGCTAATCCTTTTTTAGTAATGTTATGTTAAGTGGGATGTTTATCACAAAATGTATTTGTAGAATGAATAGGAGTGATCCTTGGCTTATAATTCTCAGTACTGACTTGGAAGCTGTGTCGGTTGCTGCATGAAGATTATGCATGGTGTGCTATTTCCTACTGGAAGCTTGCCTGTTAATGTGAAAGTAGCAATGCAAAAAGTATTTATGTTCCAAGAATTCGTGTTGTGAGATGCGTTCCTACTTTAGATGTGATTCAGACTTGCTGCTTCAGATGATTATTACCCATTATGAAAGCCAAAGGCGTGAGACTGTATGAAGTAGTTTATGTGAATCAGACTGCCATGCAGGGCAAACTCAGTTTTTAGAACACTATGTCCAATCACTGGTGACAGAAGGTGACACCAGACAACCGGGGTGGGGATAGCTGTGTCCATCAGCTGTAGAGTAGATGAACACTGAATCAGCTATATGCGAGGTTAGTGGAAACAGACCGGACACTCGAGTGTCCTTTGGTGCCGTGTGTGTATGTCCTTTACTACTCTGTCTGTGTTTGCTTAGCTGATACTTTTGTGACTGAGTTTCTCTCCTACATCGTTTTTATTTTTTCTAATTCAACTTAGAAAGGAGATCTACTAGGCGTAAGTGTGTCCAAGCCCTTTTCCAGAGGGACCTAGTAGAATGGGACAAAACATTCCTGTCATTTGTGTTTTGGTTTGATCAGCACTGGTGAAATCGAAAGTAAGTACATGCTGACTTTGGGTCTCATTTTAGGATGTTGCCAGAGTCTGGCCTGGAACTAAAATGCCTGGACAAATGGGAAACATAGACCGGACGGCCTTTGGACTAAAGGTAAACTTCTGAAGTGGCTTTCGAGACCTGGGTAACCGCGAAAGCAGAGCTGTCTGCGCATGCATTCAGTGTAGCTCTGCACGTGGCTGCTGTGAAGGATTTGCAGCCACTGAGGAGTGAAGCTGTGCGGGGAGCGCATCCTGCAGTCAGCGATGGAAAACTTCCTAGCGCAAGTCATGGGACATGCAACTGTCACAAAGAATGTCAGTCTGACCTGGAAGAGGTTAGCAGATGTGGTTGCATGGGGAAAAAAGCAAGATTCAGAGCATTATATACATACTTCTCTCCATTTATGACACTAAAACACAGAAAAGTGGAAGGTTAAACACCAACTCACTTTGGGTTACACGTTGGATTGTGGGGCGATGGATGGGGGTGAGGGGGTGCTCCGAAGAGGAGGGAAGAGGACTCCCAGAGGGTTATGGCACAGCCACTGCTAGAGAATACAAGCTGTGTACTGAAAGGCGTTAGCATCTGTGTGTAGCCAGTGGAGGAGCAGGTGCTGGCTAAGTGGAGACGAGTTGTGCAGAATGGGAGTCAAAGATTTTTACAAAACATAACTGCTGCTCACATGCGTCTGTATCGGCGTATGGAAGTACAGAGACGGCGGCACTCCGCAGGGGCCGCTGGGGACGTCTGGTCTTTCTTCACCTGGTCTGGATCAAGTTTATTTATTTATAAACTGAGTGTAATATTTCTCCCTTCTAGTGCTTTTACTTTTGCTGAAGATTGCATCATTTCTGTGTTCTGCTGTGTATCGTGTGTGTGAGAGGTTTCATGGTATTGAGCGTGTAGCTGCTATTGCGAGCCCTGGGCTGCCCGCCACACTCTCAGGACCATTTCTTGACCCTGCATTCTCTGCCGTTTGTGCAGGCTGGGGGCTGTCTTACTACTAAAATTAGAACCAGAGAGAAAGTGGAATTTCCACTCGTTAGTGCTTCCAGCAGAGCCCACTGACATGTGGGTGAGTTTTCTAGCACTTACACAGCTATCTGGTTTGTCATTCACATATAGATGAATTTTTTGGTTTCATTAGCCTTTTGAAGCGCTGATCTGGTTATTACTTTACAGGCTATTTAAAGCCTCCACTTTTAGTAACATTGTTGTAATACAAGTACTTCCTCAAGTTTTTAACTAGGATTGATTGTGTGTCTTCCTTGCTTTAGGTGTGGAGAGTGAACACAAGACACAATATAATCTATGTAAATGGCTCCGTACCTGGACATAAAAATTGCCTAGTAAAGGTATGTACAATTGCTTTCCAATGTTGAGATAGATGGCTGTTTTCCACGTGTCCTAGGTTTTTCCGCTTTATGGTAATATCTGAGTGAAAAAATTGGAAAATGACCTGTAAAAGCAAGAATCTGAAAAAAGGATTGTAGCAGTAAGTAGAGGATCTATAGAAATAGAAGGATATTTGGATAGCTAGTTGCCCAAACATTTCTGTTCTTCAAAGAAAAACTTTTGAGTGTCAACCTAAAGGTAGAAGTGTAGGCATTTTTAGGAGATATTGAGTGTTTATTTTAAAAATGTACATTATTTGTGCCCTCCCTGGTGGCACAGCGGGTTAAAGCACAGCAGGAAGAAGCTAAAGCCACTTCAGCATGAGTTCGATCCCCACCTGCCCCGGAGGTGACCACATGGCGTGGCAGACCTCTCCTGGCCCGCCCGCTGCTCCCCTCAGCAGTGCACTTTGTCGATCTGCCTGTTCTGCTGCCCACTCTGCTCTGGTGAAGCCTCTCACCGCTCCTGCACCTCTGACCTGTACCCTAGTTCTCCATGCGTAAATAAATCTTTAAAGTAAAAATGTACATATTCATTTTTCTGTTCAAAAATTAACCTGTTACAGCAGGCTTCTAAGCCAACATAGTAGAGGTCACTTTTGAATTTTGAGTCTTCTGTTCTGAAAAACAAAGTTGATAGAAGAGATCCTAGCTATTCCCAGAATTCAGTTTTTCGTTTTCAGTTAATAGGTTCGAACTTAAACCTAGGTATTTTCATTTCTTAAAGTGGTTTGTATTACTAGAACAAAGTACCATTTTTGTCTTGCTGGTTTTATATTTAAAGCCCTTTTCTTCCCTTTGACTTTAGAGCGCCAGTATCCACGCACCCTAACTGTACACAGTGACAGTTGAACCCAACAGATCATCTTTGTGCTTCTCATAATGTCTCTACCTCCAGATTACTCACATTAGGTTGTCATTTATAACACGAGAAAAAGAAATTACTTTCCGTAATAGAATCTTACTGGATGTACATGAATTTCTGATGTTAAATCCTCCTTCCCCTGCTACTGTGCACGTGGCTTTCGCTGTGGTGGCACCTGCGTGCTTCTCGGGTGTCACCTCCGCCTTCCTGAAAAGCCATAGCATGTTCAGTGATGCTCTGATCTGGTTCATAGACACAGAATGAGCCCGCAACAGTTATCACTGGGATTTCCCTCCCCCAGTTCAGTAAACATTTGCCTGCAGGAAATCAGCTCGGTGGAGGATGACCTGCCACCCTGCAGACACTTAGAAGCTACAGCAAAGACAGCTCCTGGAAAGAGCCACCAGCTGCCTTTTGTAGCCTTAAACAGATGTCTTTCCCTACAGGACGGTGTGGAACAGACAATTTGATATTGTTTCCAGTGTCAGAAAGTTTGGTACATTGTGGGGACTCTGTCACCCCACTGTGAGCCTCCCCGTGGAGGTGGAGGCACTTCTGCTGGGGCCCAGCCTGGTCCGGCCCCACACCCCACCAGAGCTCTTGCATCTTCAGGGTGCAGGGCTCCCAGTACTTTTTTAAAGTTAAGGATAAGCTTAGGGATGACTGACTCGACTTCTCGTCTGTTCTCTGGCCTCAGTCGGCGGCTAAGGGCCTGAGAACCTGATCGTTGTACATTGGTCTCTTGTGGCTCGTCCCTTGCTGTGTGTCAGATTTGCCGGGGTGCTGTGTTCTGCCCCACTTGTACCTTTCCTCAGCTTGGCCAGTATGCAGAAACCCTGGAAAGTACTGGTAAAAATCGAGGTAGAAAGTTGGAGCCAGGGCTAAGATTACCTGCGCAGAGCACATGCCAGCGAGTCCCAGCCGCGGTTCAGGACTGGCTGCCGGCTGCGGCCCTGACTCAGCTGTGGAGACGAGATGTTTAGACGCCCGTTTGCAGCTAGAAGTTAGCGCACGCCTTGCTGTTGTCTGAGGTTTCCTTCAGGTAGGCTAGATGAGTAGAAATGTAAAGGTGACAGTTAGCTGTCTAGGTCATTTGTCTAAATTTCACATTTACCAAATTAGCACGGAAAGTTTGTTTTTGTTGCTTTATTTTCAATTCTGTTTTTTCCAAGTTTAAGTTCAGCCTAACATTAATGAACTTTATTTTTTTTCAACAGTTTATTTTCTTCGGGCAATTTACTGATAATTTCTTGGAACAATTTTAATGAGAGAGAGATTAAAATAGATAAGTTTTCCATACTTAGCTGTTCCTAGCAGCTGTGTTCTTATTCCAACCAAATTATTCATTTCTTATTGCCAAAATGATTGCCGCCTTTTACTCTGTATAATTACATGTATCTTTTTCTATTTCTCCCTGAATGAAGGCTGTAGAATGAGTCAGGAGCATTAAAGAATCCAATTTTTTTTTTTAAAGGCAACATTCTAGATTTGTACTATTCCTTTGTTTAAATTTAGAATCCAATTTTTTTTTAAAGGCAACATTCTAGATCTGTACTATTCCTTTGTTTAAATTTATGGATATGATTGGAATATTTTTATAATATTCCTGTTTATACTTTATATGGGTTATTTTTGCTGATCTCAGTAAGAATGCTATTTGTCAAATGAAGCAAATTTCCTTAACAGAAAAGTGGTATTTTGGGTTATATGCTTAGAATTAAGACTAACAAATATACTAGGCACTAAATTTTTAATCTCTATTCAATATCTGATGGGAAATAGGCAGTTAAGACAAGGTAATCAGTAAAAAAGTGGCTTCTGATACCTGTTGGTATATTGCTTGTCAGATCTTTCATTTGAAGAAAATCAACATGCATATAGTTGATATTGACAATTTATCTGATTTAGGAATTATGACAAGTTAGAAATAAATGAAATCTTCCCTAAAAGAAAATACTGTGATTGAATTAGTACAATTTCTTGGAATAAAAATAGATTGAGTACCTTAAATTAGCTGATATCACTTGTTATTCACACTAGAAAATTAGATATTCTTTGATGCTAAGTAATATTGTTTATTATGGGCTATCTTTAAATAACATAATTGCTAATGCTAATAAAATTTTTGCCTTCTCTCCCCCAGATAAAAGATTCTAAACTGCCTGCATATAAGGATTTCTGTAAAAATCTGCCATTCCCTACATACTTTCCTGATGGGGATGAAGAGGAATTGCCAGAAGATTTGTATGATGAAAATGTGTGTCAACCCAGCGCGCCTTCTATTACATTTTCCTGACATGTAAGGAAGCAAGATCAGTAATGTAACCAGTACTTACAGTTCTGAGTCACAAAACTATACTCGGCATCTTTGTCAAAGGTGTAACTATGATCCACACCTTATTTGAATTGTTAAATATCACATTGAACAGATCAGTTAATTGGATTTGCTAAATTTAAATGGACTGGCAGTTTGCATATTAGCAAAATCTTTGTAAGTTATGCTTTTGTTTTTTCACTAGATACTTCCCATCTTACCCTAAGATGTTTATAAACTTACCTTTTGTTAAAGATTTGTCCTGTCTCTGAATGGGGTGGTCATAGAAAACCGGCAAACCGTAACATAGGGACTGGTACAACCTACTGGACAAAAGAAACCATTTCCTAAACTTCATTCTGTTTTAGAGCCCTAAAAAGAACAGAAATAAGATTTTTAAACTACAGAAATATATAGGGACGTCTTGGTTAAAAGGACAGACAAGCTTCACTTAACATGTGCTGGACAGTAGCCTCCGTGCGACTTCCTGCTCGCTGTGGGGTGATTAAGGAAGCGCAGCAGTATTCTACCACCTCCCTGAGCTCTTACCTTCTAGATGAGCGGTGTGACACCTCGTGGCTTCGTGCTTGCTGGGTGCCAGGCACCAGCCTGTGCGGAGTTCTTGATACACGAGCCCTCAGATGGAGTCTTTACCCAGGTGTGATCTTGGTCCTGCACCATTTTTGATTGAAAACAATTTAATCAAAATGAAAATTCCTGAACTTGAGCAAGTTTTACTCACCAGTAAAGAATAGAAACCTGTCATATCAAACCAGGATTTACTTCTGTTGAACAGTGTCTGGGGAGCTCCTTGGCAATGCAGTAAGAAAATAAAAAGTAAATTTCCTTACTTGTCAAAATCCTACCTGAGAGATCAAAGACAAGTATCAGAACCAATGACTTTTCCAAAAATGACTAAAAATAAGGTTAACGTACATAACCGTCAAATATTGGGAAAATTTAAGGGGGAAATGGATATCATTCACAAAGGCAATGTTTTAAAGAATACTGCCCAGGAAAAGCCTAACAGTAGACCTCTGAGTATCACATTGGTAAAATAAACTTCATGGCAGAGCTTGAACAATGGACAGGAGAATCATAGTTATGAATAGAAAGATTTAACATTTCAAAGAATTCACTTCAATCCTTTTAAAAATCAGTCAGGCTTAGACTGTAACTACTGAAATCTGATTCTAAGATTGCTGTGCAAATGTATATTCAAGAACAATCAAGGCCTCAAGGGGTACCTTCTTCCAGTAGGCTCCATTCTGGGCTCGGGCGTTGGCACTATAACCAGGCAGTTCAGAGTACCGTAAACCTTAATTCTCCATGAGCTGCCACTTGATCAAAAGATTTTAGAGACGCAGTGGGTTTGCTGATACAGCAATGGGAAGCAGCTGTTACCTTGCAGAACGAGTAATTGTTGCTGGGAGAGTGTGAACTCAAAGAGCGCGCAGTGACATCTTGGCGTCAGCGCAGCGCGGCCTGGGTGAGGTCAGTTCCCCCAGCTCCTTGAGGCCAGCTTTGGCTGGACTCTTGTGTGCGCTGACAGTAAATGTGAGCGCTGCTGTGGAGCGTCCCCACGTCTTGAGAACCCCCACAGGAGGATGGCCGCGCCAGCTTGCCCTGTCTGCATCAACAGCCTGAGAGCTGAGGGCTGCGAGCGGCGTGGGCGCGTGACAGGGGCCTGTTTCTGCTGAACTGCCACCCCAGCGTCTGACACAGGCACTCACAGTTGGAGGCCCCTCTGGGCCAGTGTCCTCAGCACCTCTGAGACCCGTGTCCCCTCATGCCCACCTGTTTTCAGCCTAGAAAGTACTTATTCACAAGTGAGTTAACTGAATAATGGATAAAGTTTTTACTGCCTCTAGAACTTTCCATAAAGTTGAATATCGTAACAGACCTATTACCTGCAGTTTCCAGTCCTAATGCAGTATCTGCTGTCAGGCTTCATCTGCCAGCTCCTGTCATAATTCCTGCCAGACCGAGTGGGTCCTTGGTGCCAGAAATGACAATGGTCTCTTAAAGCATGCCTCCAGACAAAGAATGACTGCCACCAGCGAGAGCCCAGGATCCCTGAAAGGAAGAGGACCCAATTAAAGTGGCGTCGACCTCTCCAGAAAGCAGCCAGTGGCCTGAGCAGAGGGCTGCCAGCGCCATTTCATCGTTTGTTTCCCGCTTTTAAATGTTGCGCCCAAAGAATTTACAGCAGCCCGTGTCAGGCATTGTTTTTCATTCTCTTTAAATTAACGAGGTGGCCGCTCAAGTTAGACCAGCCAAATTAATCTCAATGAATGCAATTTGAAGCACCATAAAAGCAAATAAATGATTTTAGCTCGGCTGGCCAAGGACTTCTTGGCTTGGGACGAGTGTAATTGTTCCTTCTTGGCACTTGGCTAGAAAAGAGAAAGTGACAGCTGTGATCTCTTTCCCCTAAGGCAGACTTTATGTAAGCACCCAAAATGCACTCAGGCATCTGGAAAGTTTGTTGTTTTTAAAGAGAAAGGATAAGCTAACCAAGTTCGAACTGCATCAGATTCCCTATTTGTGGAGGACCTGAGTGCTCGTCACAAGCATCCTGGCAAAGATGCCTGTTAACAGACTGTCAGAATGAGCGAAAGTACATGGCTTCCATGGGCACCCAGCAGAAAATTCCTTACCTACACCAGTGTTTAAATGATGGCAAAGATGGCATCAGGACTGTTGGCGGATTGTCCATTTCCTCCTGCTGACTGCAGACACCTGGTGATGCTCCCCTTCACAGGAGTCCTGGTGGTCCCAAGGGGGTCTGGTGTCCCCCTTAAACAGCTGTGCAGGCTGACAGCTGCTGCCACACCACCACTTAGCTGACTGGCCCACGGGACGGCATCCACAGAGGAAGTGGCATTTAGGAAACAAGTCAGAGCAGAGGAAGCGGGCAGAGAAGACCTGAGGGCGAGGGAGCAGAGAGCTCAGGTCTATAAAACGCTCCCCACACCTGTGAGGTCGGCACAAGCAGTGCAGCCCTCCTTCCCCCTCTCAGGCTTCTCCAGACACCCCCTGTGGGGGAGGAGGGGAGCATGGCTGTGATGTCTGGGAGCCCAGTGTCCCTCACATACCACCTGGGCCTCAGTCTCCTTAAAGAGTACCCACGTGTCTGATCCTGTCAGGAAACGTGCGGTCGCGATGAAACAAGCTGTCAGTTTTCACCTTGAAGTTTGCAGTCCTTGTTATTATTTACTGTTGTGTTTATAGATTTCTGAAAAATAGATATTTTTGAAAAGTACATTTTACATGACTTGAAAACATAAGACAGAGTCCACACTGGTGGGAAGTACAAGGGAACAAGCAGGGAAGGCTGTTGCTTGCAAAAGATTGTGAGTGCCCACAGAGGTGGGAAATTAGCACTTCAATGATGATGTAAGGGCTGGTTCAGGTGGGTTATCATGGGTAGTGAAATGGGGGGGGGGGGCACATCTTGATGTCTCCCCACAGCTGCCTATTAGTTGAAAGGGCAAACACCACACAGACCAGTAGACACAGAGGATGTGAGCCAGGTGCAAACGCACTGCCTGGCCCTCACTGGCCCCTGCGTTGGTGGGGACCGGGGGCCACAAGGACATTGCGAGGACAGTAACTGGAATATGAAAGATGAAAGTACGACAGCATTAAATGGTACACGACTTGCTAACACACTGTGGGTTCTGGAATATGAAAGATGAAAGTATGACAGCGTTAAATGGTACACAACTTGCTAACACACTGTGGGTTCATGAGAGAAATCCTCTCTTTTAGGAACTGCACACTGAATATGTAAACCACCATGGGGGTATCTAACTTACTCTCGGGTGTCCTGGGAGAAATGTTTCTGTGCCACAGATGAAGGATAGATGATAACTAGACAGACAGACAAAGCAGTGGGCGCAAAATGTCAACAGGCCACGGTGGTAAAAACCATGTGGAATTGCAATTTCTGTGACAAAATTATTTCCAGATACAAAGTTTTTATTTAAGAATACGGTTATTGGCCTCCCTGGTGGCACAAGGGGTGAAGTCTCAGCAGTATGAAGCTATCTGCAGCCACAGCAGCACGAGTTCAATCCCCATGGCCCAGCAGACCCCTCCTGTCTCCCCTGCTGCTCCCCTCAGCAGTGGATTTCAGTCTGCCTGCCCTGTGACCCACTCTGTCTCTCTGGCAAATCCTCTCACTGCCATACTCTGACCTGCCCCCCAGCTCTTCTATACATAAAATTAAATAAATCTAAAAAAAAAATAACACGTCATTATTTACATGA